AGAGCAAGAGCGCTCAGCTTAGTCACCCAGTGAGCTTTGCAGTCAAGTTGGAACTAGAATTTGGGCCTCCCCATTTCTATTCTTTAATCATTGTGCTACACTGATTGCTATGGAGGGACACTACTTGTCCCAACCCTATATACCTCCTGTGCTATTATTTTCATCCCCTTCTAACTCTCCTCTCTAACCTGTATGCTTGGATATTAGCTGTTGTGCCTGCTGGTATGGGGTGTCTTGAACTAGGTCTGTCACTAAGAAAGCAAATGTCTTTGGTTAATGGGCACAAGCCACCACTGGATTATTCTTTTCATTATGAGGTTTCAGCCATCGCTGCTTCTTTGAGCTTTTATATTTTTCTTAATTTTGGGGGTGGACCAGCTTATTTTCTTTTTGAAGCTGTATTGTTGGAATATTGTACTGCCTGTAGAATTCCCTTTGAGGTTCTGCTAGCATCTTCAGACTGGAAGCAAAGGAGAGGAAATGTTTTTCAATAGCTTTGCATTGCTTCAAAACTATTTAGAAAGTTTGCTACTTAGTTCGTTTGTTTTTGCACAAATTTTGAATTCTTCAGAACGTTTTACATCTATAAAACCTTAGTTTTAATCACTGCTGCCCATTATGTGTACTCCTGATTTTCAAAAGATAGTATAGGAAGGCCAATGTAGTGTAATAACACATCACATAACTAGGATATTCACAATCTCCTCTTGGCTGAGAAACTCCTTAGATGATCTTGGACCTGTATCTCAGTATAATCAACCTCACAATAGCCAGGGCTTTGACAGTATCAAAGATGGAAGACCCTCTGGATTCATCAGGCATCTGGGTCAGATTATTTTAATCAGTCCTCCACCCCTCTAGAAGTTTATAGTATCTGCTAGTCTAAAACCTATCAGAGAGCAATCTGTCCATGAAACTGAGTTACAGAGATCTCTTTTGCTTTCAGATCAGTAACACCAGTCAAACAAAATACCAATTCCAATGTATGTTGTGTTGCATGTGTGAGATCAGTTACTATTTGGGACAAGTTCACTGTCATTATGCTAAATATGAAATTCTGAGCCAGCCCTACTGGACATGCTCAGCATGGATATTGAAATCCCTAAGACGAGATATTTAGAGTCGATTATGTGCAACCACCTAGATTTTCTTCATAGTGATCTGTCACTAACATGGTCCTTTGCATCTTCCAGTGGTGTGCCCATCACCATTGTGACGGAGTCCATCCACCTTGCTGCTGACATCCTCTTCTGTTTCCTTCCGCCTTTCTCAGCATTAGAGCTTTCTCCAGGGAGCCAGGTCTTTGTATAGTGTGTCTGGCTAATTTGAGCCTTGTCATTTGTGCCTCAAGTGAGAACTTTGGGTTGATTTGTTCGATGACCCATTTGTTTTTTTTCTTGGCTGTCCAGGAGTCAGGAGTCTTTTTCAGTCCCAAAGTTCAGAAGTGTCATTGCTCTTTCTGTTCTGCTTCTTCAAAGTCCAGCTTTCACTTCCATAAAGTGCCACGGGGAATACCATGACGTGCATTATTCTGATCTTTCTAGGTTTAGACCCCTCATGGCATTTGAATATCTTTTCCAAGGCCTTCATGGCTACTCTAGCAAGTGTTAGTCTGAGGTGTATTTTTTGACTGCTTGTTCCTTTACTGTTGATGGTTGGCCTTTAAAGGCAGAAGCTGTCCACCACTTCAGTATCTTCATTGCCAGTTCTAAGGCTGGTGGTTCTACCTGTTGTCATTAGTTTGGTCTTTATATTTATAAATTATATTTTATGTTGTATTTAATTTTAGTCCTATTTTATTGCTAGAGCTTGTAGACTTTTTGCATTTTCAGCGATCAGGGCAGTGTCATCAGCATCGTACAAGTTATTGATGTTGCTTCCTCCAGTTTTAAACCCAGACTCCTCTTCTTCCTGTCCAGCTTCTGTTAATATATATTCTGCATATAGGTTGACTAAATAAGGGGGGAGTATTCAATATACAGATTTTAGAGTAGCCCACCAGAAATCACTCTGGCTAGCTCAGGAAGAGAGACGGTTTTGTGATGAGTGGACAGTACACTAATAGTATCCTTATATTATCCCAGCCACACAAATACAGCAGCAGACACTAAAATTTGGCAGACTATTGGATGGAGCTTGTGGTTTCTGAACTGGTGGACAGAAAGATTGATTCCTCTCTTACTCAAATCTCTGTAATATGCGCCAGGTCACTGCTTTCGTACAGGATTAAACCCTGAATAATAGACATTCTACCACAACTGAGGTAGCATTAAAAGCTAACCTTCAGGTGGTTTAATAGTTAATTAATAAACAATATATTACTTCAGGGAAGAGACTAGGCTTCTGACTAGGTTACCTGTAACATTTCCAGTTTGGAAAAGGTGACAGAAGACTTTCTCCCTTCCACTTTAGTGTGTGGCTTGACTTGTTTCCATGGCCCTTCCAAACCATTGTACAGAATTTGTCAAGTAAACACATCTGGCTGCTGCACTTCTCCTGTCTGCATGTCACCCTGAAAACTGTTACTTTAGAATTTATATGTTTTGTACAATGAAGTGCTGTGTCACTGTAAGGAGGAAAGCTGTGCCTGGACTTTTTGATCATTTCCATTTCCCTTGACCATTAAAGTGGGAATGTGGCTTGCCTGATTAAAGCGATAAACATCTCCCATTCAAGCATGTAGCCATATAATGTCAGAGCCATCTCTGTTTAAATACTGTTTCAGACCCTTATGCCTATATCATTTTTTTAAAGATTTTTTTTATCCCACCTTTATTATTTTTATAAATAACTCAAGGCGGAGAACATACTAATCCCCCTTCCTCTTCCTATTTTCCCCGCAACAACAACCCTGTGAGATGAGTTGGGCTGAGAGAGAGGGACTAGCCCAAAGTCACCAGCCAGCTTTCATACCTAAGGTGGGACTAGAACTCACAATTTCCCGATTTCTAGCCCGTTGCCTTAATCACCAGACCAAACTGGCTCTCTCATGGGATGCTATGACATCGCAGCATATTTATAAACATTTTGATATGAAATTTATGGTAGCAGTTGCTGCCATTTGTTAAAAATTTCTGAGTGGCATATTTGTAGTATTTAGTTGTGTAATGGGTTGGGTCAGCACAGCTTATGAGCTACCAAACAAGAGTCTCTTTACTATATATTATAGCTTGTCAGGTACTGTAAAGGATTGTAACCAACCTTGGGGAAGGTATGAATGAGCAGTTAAGGAGAAGCTTGGAGAAGAGATTACACAGTCCAGAGAGTGAAAGAAACATGAGAAAGAAACTTAAAATAGCCCTTTTTAAATTTTGTTTGGGATATGATGGGACAGAGAGAAACTTCAGCAATCTTTTGAGATTCTGTTCGAAACAATAAAGTAGCATTCTTGGAATCCCTGTGGTGTCTGTTTCTTGACCTGTCATACCTCAGAGGGCTGACATTAATTTTGAAAGTCTGGCCAGGTTACTTACTAACTCCATCAAGGTGGGGTTATTTTGTGTTTCTCATGCCTTCCCCAAGGTCAGCTCTAAATTCTTTTACAGGTATTCAGTAGAACAACTGAATTCCCACTCAGCCCAAGCTATTGTCTTTCTCAGCTTAACTTACCACATTTGGTTATTTTGGGAATAATTGGAAGAGGGAACCTGAGGTTCCTGGAGGAAAAGCTGGATATCAGTCAAACATACCGTATCACACATGGGCAGAGTCCTCTTTGTTTTGTGATGCAGCTTCCTGAGGCAAGAGTGAGAAGGCTCTGCTCGTTTTGAGCTGGCTTTCTAGTAGGGTGAAAGAGGATAGATTGGCATTGCTTGTCCATTTTTACTAATGTCTTTTTTTTTCTTTTTTCTCCACAGGCTGGCAGTGATGGTGAAAGTATAGGCAACTGCCCTTTCTCTCAGAGACTCTTCATGATTCTGTGGCTCAAGGGAGTGGTATTTAGTGTTACAACAGTTGACTTGAAAAGGTAGGGAACTCGGCATTCTTAGGAACTTCTTACTGTATCTGGTTGCCTGTGAGAGTTTTAAGTATTTCCTTTCCTACACAGCAGGATTTTAAAAATTATGGTCCTGTTGCTTCTCATTTCTGACAGGAGATCAATCCCATGTAGCAAATACCTTTCTTCATGTTGCTGCTTTACAAACTCCTCTGTTTCATGAGTTAATATCAGAGACAATAATTTTTCACAGCTGCATTATGCAAGATCATGGAAGTTTTTCATTATGGGCTCTGGGTGACACACTTACGGATCCTGAACACTGTAGTCCCATGGAGAGCATTCTGTACTTGGGAAGACTTGGAGCATGTACTTCTGTAGAGTAATTCTCTCTTCTCAGTCCTTTTTCTCTGTGAGATGCTTGCTCCATAAGGGGGTTGAGTGCTGCTGAGGAGATTCCATTATTTTTATTTTTTTAGCATTCATTAATAAGTTGCATTAGTTTCTGCAGTAGTAATCATCACATTAAAAAAAAAAAAACTGGAGAAGTGCAGATATTGGGTTTTGAGTCTTCCTCCAACATCTGTAGCTTCTAAAGCACACTCTGCCAGTGTCCATGTTGGGGCACTAAATTGCTGCTCATTGCCATTCCCAGGCTTCATTTTGACTAAAGGCGCAAAGTATAGTAGATTCCTATACTTACTGTTGAAAACTTGTACGTCCTGTGTGTAGGAATGGGGGTTCCCCATTGGGGGCACTGTTTTGGCAAAGGGCACGGCAAAGACCAGTATTTCTAGATCCCACTGAGACTTACAGGCAAGGGTAATGTTAATGCCCTCAGAGCCACTTCAGTTAGCTGCTCCAGCTTAATGTCATTCCCAAGCCCTACCTCATTAGTTTCTTAGCAGGGTGTAAGTGGTTTCAGTAGAAACTACTCTGATGTTGTCTGCTGCATTGCTTATTTTGAGGCTTACAGCTTGGCAAGACTCTCATCCCCCCTCACCCCACCCCCCCAGTCTGTGCAATGCTTAGTGTGTATCAAAAAGGGAATTTGAGGACCCTTCATCTCGATACCAGCAGCATTCTGCTCTTCCACTGTGTCACTGTCAAAGCAGATTGTCCCAAAGGCAAGCTGGTTCTTCCTCTTCTCCCCTGCGTAACTGATACAAGGTCTCTCATGTTCATCTTACATGTTGAAGCACGAAAGGAACAGATTAACGATATTGAAATGCAGTGTTGGACAATTGCTCCATCAGCCAGGGTGGGGTCATTACTCTCTGACAGTATGTCTGCTTATGCAGCATGGAGTTTTCCCAGGAAGCCAAGAGTAAAGTGAAGGACTCTTAATTGATGGAGGTCTTTTCAGTTAGTGCACTGCTGACCCCATGAACCCCATCAAAAAGTGAAAAACAGCACCCACTAAGTGGATATGAACCCAGTGAATTAGCAGTGCTGTTTGTCTCTCTCTTCATGGAATGAGAAAAGTGGTGGGGGAGGTAAAGACTTTCCCCATCCATTTTGGGGGCTTTTGGTGTTCATGGGAAATCCTTTGAGCCCTTCCCTATTATGAGGGCTACTCTTTTTGAAGTTTTGGTTTCAACTGAAGTTGTTTAAGCCTTCAAACTTTCCAGCTTTGTAGTCTTGGAGCAGGTCTTCCTGACTTGAAATTTTATCTGGGAAAAGTCACACTACTACTCATGTTGTGTATCTTCCAAAAGGTTGTCTGATTTCTACATTTAAAAATCCCTTAGTGCTGCTGGCATCTTTCGTGTCTCCATCTTTGAGATCTGAGTGCTCTCTTAATTAATGATCCACAGAGGCCATGGCATTTTTCAGCAGCTCTGCTAAGCTGTTTTCCCTTTTGTGTATTTCGGTGGCCCAAAGAAAGTACATTCAGGTTCTATTCCATGTTTGCAGATGACAGCCATGTTGTTCCTAGTAGACCTACCACCACCACTCTTCCCCCCAATTTCTTTACCCAGTCACTCTACTTGGGCATTTTCTACTCTAGCTTCTCTGCTTCATAGCATCTCTCTTTGACCTGTGCAGAGCAGCTGTTTGGCCTGGCTTACTGTCCATTATGAAGCCTTGCTAACTGGGTCTCAGAGCCAGGGCAGATGCTAGTTTTGGCCAAGTGCAGTTGTCTTTGCTGCTTTAACTAGATCACTTGACCCTCCCCCCAACAACCCTTACTAGTACATTGCTGTTCATGCATATATGTGATTTCACATATGACAGGTTGGTTGCTCCTAATGGTGGTCTGTCTTCATGGTCTCTCTGCATTCATGCATACAGTTTCCGTGCCCATGTCCAGGGTGATAGGAATGGTGAATAGGAAGGAAGGTATGTGAATATGTAATACCAAGTCTAAGAAATTACATTTATCTCTGAGAAACATGGCTAATATACTTTGGTTCACATTTGTATAACATTGACAATTGTTAACCATCAGAAAAATAAAACTTTATTCCAGGATAGAAACCCGTGCTTTTGTCTTGCTGTGGACTTTCTGTTTCACAACCTGAGTCTTGGTTTGTTTAATAACTGTTCCCATTCCCTTAAAAGGGAAAACTTATTCTTCCCTTCTGTTAGGGCATAAAAATTGAGTTTCAGCATAGCCATCGTAGGTCAACAGTGCATCTTCCTCACCTACGTCACCACCAAAAGATGACAATAATATGAAAGTTCCTGTCTCTAGTACATATTTGTAGAGACTTGGGTGAATTACTGTAGTATGTACACAGCTCCTGCAGTTGAAAAGATCACAACTAAGGAATTGTGAAACACAGGAAAAAGTTAATGTTATAAATTTACTGTTCTGTGACATCCATTTTCCTTTGTTACCATCTTGTTATATATAATACTGTGCTAACAAGAGGATACTTGCAGCTCTGATCTGTTAATAGTTATGAACACAAGCAAAACTATATGCAGGCTAAATGGGGACATGCCAGCCCTTTCTCCCCCGCCAAGTACTCATATGCTTTCTGCCATTGCTAAAGACAGAGGCTTCATTCTTTTCCCTCTTCAGGAATGCAGCTTGTGTCTGTGTGCAGGAATTAGACAATCTTTGTTGGCCAGAGTAGCGTTGCAGCGTCCAGAGTTCTAGCTTGTTTGGGAATACGGGACGCCTTTTGGATTTGATTTTGCAGAGCCTTGGAAGGATTTTTGGCTAAAAGGGGGATGGAGGAGCTTGAGCCAGTGGTTTTCAGACTCTCTTCTTGAGAACTCTGGACGTTCTTAAAAGCTTAAAAGAATGACTAATCTTTTTTCAGAAGTTAATACGAGAGGCTGCCTTCTTTACCAAGCTGGGCTGGATTGCTGGCTGCGTTTTAGGCTTCAAGCAGTTTATGCAGAGCAGAAATGAAGACCAACAGGCTGAGCCGTGCCCCCATCTTGCTGGCTGAGTCCTATCAAATTCCTTCTCTAAGGCAGTAGTGTTCTACTGCAAATATACAAGATTTCTGTGGAGGACAAAGTGTGTAGATAGAGTTCCATATAGATGACAAATATGTTCTAATGTACTGGCTTGTTTAATTTAATGAGGTTTGGAAATGAACCTCAAAAACATTGTAGGCAGAGCCTAGCCTATTTGACTTCTACTGCTCTGAAGCTTAGGTGGCAATGAGGAGGAGTAAAAAGAGGCTTCTGCTAGAACAGTCATGAGCTATATGCATATCACATGCTTAGCTTGTCTCTGAAAGACATAGCGTGTTAGTAGAAATGCTCCCCCCCCCCAGTTTATTGTATATGGGGTAGGCCACATTGTTTAGGACTGAAAAAGAGTGCTAAATTGAGGTTAACCTCTTCCAGTCTTTGGTTACAGAAGATGATAGTCTAGAGCAGTCATTCAGAAATGGGGTGGCCGCACACCCTGACTCTGTCTTTTCTTTCTATTCTTCCAGTGTGGAGGGAGAAACAGGGTGAGAGAAGTGAAGACACCCCCCCCCCATCAGACAAAGATGGCTATGATACTAGTCAAGATGGATGTTCCCATTTAATCAGGCACTGTAGTTTAGTCAGTTGTTCATCCAAGAGTAGCAATAGGTTCATTTTTTCCTGTGATAGTTTTTTCAACATTTTCTTACTTTAAAATAGAAAAAAAAAAAAAAGAATACCCAGTGTCACCTTTCCAACCAAATCTTAATATATTGGCCATTGGTTTAAAACTGAGCTGCTTTATTAACACAAAACAATTAAAGATGACAAGGAAGAAGGCCAGGGAAAGTTCTACAGCAGGTTTCTCATCCTTGGCAACTTAAAGATGTGTGGACTTCAGCTCCCAGAATTCCCCAGCCAGCATTGAGTTAAAGTCCACACATCTTCAAGCTGCCAAGGTTGAGAAACACTGTTCTCGAGAATTGGTGCCAAGTAGTGCCAGACAAGCTAGATGGATTGGATGCACTGAAAGGCAACTGTTTATGTTCCTTCTCACAAATTCCATGAAAGTTTGGGATGCTCGCCAGCTTCCAGATCAGGGATGGGCAATTTTTTCTGGGTGGGTTTTCTCCCCTCTCCCCTCTCCCATGGGCTTCAGGAGACATTGTGGTGGTGATAGGATGAAACTATTCAGTTTGCACATTACAGTTTGGGGAGCTTGCGGTAGGTGCATTAAAGCCTTGATGTACCTGTGTTCCATTGTGCCCGTGGAAACTTGCTCCTCAGTAACTAGTGTATACTCCATTCTGTTCCATATGCAGTTGTTTTAAAACATGCATACACACACACCCAGAATGTTATGCAACCTTCTAGCCAGTCTTTTGTCTTGGTATCTGTTCATACAAACCTTTAATGGGGAAAAAGAAATAGTAAAGTAGCTCATGCTAAAATGACCCACAGCTTGCACCACTAGCTCTTTGTCAGACTGGAAACTGGAAAATATGTTCTTTTTATCTGGTATTTATAGCAGGGGTCACTGCTGAAGTTATTTAAGGCTGAGCAGCCTCTGCCCCAAGCACATCCTCTTTTGGCTGTGTCTATGTTTAAAACTTTCTGGGAGCTGGGTAAAATCCCAGGAGCTTAGTTATTTG